GTCATAGTCTCATTGACCACTGGTGGTTGGGGCATGGCAGTGGTTGTTGTCTCATTGACCACTGGTGGCTGGGGCACTACGGTGGTGGTCATCGTCTCATTGACCACTGGTGGCTGAGGCATGGCAGTGGTCGTCTCATTGACCACTGGTGGCCGGGGCGCTGCTGTGGTAGTTGGAACCTTCTGAGCTGCAGCAGTCAGCACCTGGACACTTGGAGCAACTGTTAGATTTTGGTTAATTATTAGACCAATATAACAATAAAGGTACTTGGCAAAAAAAAATGTATTCACATTTTTCATGAGAGACTTCTCCTGCTTACCTGTGCAGTGTCCAGGAAGAAGTGCAATTTCATCTACAGCTACATTCGACTGGTTATTTGAACTCTGTTGTCCCTCTATGATTATCTAATTTTTGAAAATGTATTAATCAACCAGAATATTCAAACTAGCCACAATACATTTTTTAAAGAATAATTACCTTAAAAGCTTGAGTTGTATTGAAGTCCACTTGAGCCACGTGCCACACATTGCCTTGGTTATTTTTTTTCTGCCAGATGGTCCTAACCAAACTGTTCTGGAGCAGGTAAATATTGAGGCTTATTGTATCTGCTGGGCTATACATACGGTACCAGAACTGCAGACACTGAGGGCCAGTGTTGGAACACTCAGAGCTGATGAGACGAGCTGTGTCACCATAGATTATGCTACGGGCCTCAATATAAAGGTAAGTGCCTCCTGGGGGGAGGGGAATGCTTTAGATTTTAGTATAGACAAAAAGGTTTTTACCATTTAAACATAAAATACATTACCTATGTGATCAGAGGGGCCAGTCATCTGAGTAGGGTATGAACCATTGCTCATTGCCCAGTCAAATGCATCAGTCACCATCTGACTCCAAGCACAGAAGTTGCCATTAAAGCTACAGTCAATATTACAACCTGAAACAAACCCAATATGTTCACAACTTTGTCATAAGTGAAAGTCACCAGAAAAGCAATTCATTTGATCATCATAACATTAAGACTACACTTAACTTCTGGCACAAATACTAAATATGCATATTTTTGTGCACTTACTTGGCTGCGATGGAATACGTAATGTGAAAGGAAGTGAAGTTCCAAGCTTATTGGGGAGGTCTGTAGTTTGTGAATTAGCACCAATCCTTTAGATTGGTTACTCATCAAGCCACATGTAAAATGTTTAAATATAAATAAAATATAAAGCCTTACCCAAACATGAGCCCAAACTGATAGAAATGTCATCAAGTGCCACATCCGATTGGGCTGTAGACCCTCGGATTCCCTCGAGAATAATCTGGAGAAAGTTTAAAGGCCAATGATTAGATTACTGCAAGGATAAGCTTCACCAAGGCACAATTTATAATTTGCATGTTCGTCTTACTTGGAAAGAATTGGAGACTTTAAGATCAACATTTCCCAGATGCCATTCTGGTCCCTGGTTGTTACTCATGGACCAGATTTTTGTCGCTGTATGGTTTTGGAGTAGGTAGATGTTGAGAGCCATACTTGAGGCAGAACCATACATATAGTACCAGAAGTGCAAGCAGAGTGGGCCATCATAATGGCACACTGAACTCAACAGGCGAGCCGAGTCTCCATGGGTTACACCATCTCCCTCAATGTACAGGTAAAAACCAGCTATAACAATAAAATGTCAATATGAACATGTTCCACTTTACTTAAGAGGGGGAAAGATTGGGTGTACTCTACCTCCAGTGGTGTGATCATGGTTTGGTCCAGTTAGATTTGATGGTGTAGGCCCAGAGTGTCTGGTCCAATCAAAGCTGTCTTGAACGAGTTGCTTCCATTCACAAATAGTTGTGTCAAAATTACAGTTGAGAGGACAAACTGTATGGAAGACAGGTTTCATCAACTATTGAACTGTAAGAGTGTTGTAAAGATAATTAAAAATGTCCTTACAAGGCGCATCTAGAGTGGTAGAAAGAGTTGCTGGGGCTCTTGTAGTTGGATGGTGTTCTGTATTAAAAAGGAGAACGTACGAGTCATTTCAAGCAAATGCCTATACACAAAATTTTTTCTATGTAAAACCACCCTGAATGATTGCTCAATTTCTATAATGCTTCCACATTGTTGGATGCAGAAGTCTGGTTCAACTCACCACAAGCTGTGCCATTCCACCAGTCAGGAAGTTCCACCCCTGCAATCTGGCATGCGGTCGCATACGATTTTAAAGATTCACACACCGTTGTTCTGTCACCAGTTGTGGCACAATAGTCATATACACAGCTTTCAAAGTAGATGCTTGGGTGAACATGTTCATGGCAGGCATCAAAGGCACTTAGAAACACTGATGAACATGCATCGTTGGCCTCATCCAATTCATCACCACCACATTCTTTAGGATTGTTTGGTAGGGCAACACACCTAAAATGGATTTAGAATGGTCATTTAGACCTGACTGAAAATTTTTGGATTGTATACCTGGATTATTGAGCATGGACTATTTTAATAGTCATTTAGCTTCAAAATTCACATTTTATTTAATTTTGTACAGCTCAAGTGTTCAGTTTACTGTAAGCCTTAAGAAAGCCATTTAAAAACAAGATATTTTCTATGACTGCTCTGTAGCAGATTTTGAAGTACTTTGAACTTATTCAGTTAATGCTAGACAAAGTTGCAGAACAGCCATCAACTCAATGGAGACCAGCTTGTAAGTTGTGCCATCAAAGTCACAGGTAGAAAAAATAAAAAGACTCACCCCTCATCCTCTCTCCAACTGTCAGCAAATTCGAATGATTCGTCAGCGATTTGGCCCCCTGGCATGAGAAAATCATCATACTGGTATTCGGAATAGGTGCCACACAGCCCACAGAGTTCATATTTATATTGCTCATCCACTTGCAGGAACAGTCTGCTGTGTCCATCGATCATCATTTTCAAGCCAAATGTAGTTTCCAAAATAATAAGATTTTCTCTCTTGTAGACCCACACTGAGCCATATGTACCGGTGGCTGAATAGGGGAGTGTGACATAGCCATCATGCACCTAAAGAGGGAGAAATTTTTATTTTTAATAGTTTTAAAACGAGCCATTTGATGGCCCACATTTTTTCTTCAATGTTTAACCTAACGTTTTCTCAAAAGGCACCTACATTGTTATAATTGACTTTGGACAAAATTATACTGAGAGGTCATGTCTCATGGTAGATAACCGATTGCAAATATATGAGTATTCAATTTTTACTTCACATGCAAAACTACTGTATTTTTTGCCCGATAAGCGGCAGGTTCGTTTTTTTTTTTTTTTTTTTTTTTTTTTTTTGCATAATTTGCAAGCCATGCGACTTATACGCAGAAGCAACATATTTATGGATTTTTTCCCCCCTGTATTTGTAAACCAATTTTTGGCTGAGATATGACAGTTTTTCATTCTGACTAAAAATATTGAACACTACCATTATTCAGCTGCTAGATGGCACTCGGAGGTGTATGGCATGCCGTTGTGTCATGTAGTATGTAAAAGTTGCTATTAATGACAATCTGCTTGCCAAAGCCTGCCAACTTCGTTCTGCTCACTTGGAGCAACCGTCAAAATCAGCTTGATTTTGCTGCCCTGCCCTGGCAAAATGCAGCCAATTTGACTATTAAAATGCATTTATTAAGTAAAAGTTCAACTGAGACGCACCCTTACTATAATTTTGAGCAAACAAGTAATTGTTTTTAAGCGTTAATCTTGTTAAAGTCCTCCCGTGTACACTCCCGTGGCAGCTAATCGTTTTTTTTGGCAACACTGGCCCAAATTTCTGGGTTTGGCCCACATTTCCGTGTTGTCAGCGGTGATGCGTAACAAAACGTGACATCAGCGATGACTTATAATAGATGTGACAAACGGTGAAGCGATGCATTTATGGATTTTCCCACTAGACATATTTGGACTGATGTGACGTGTACGGCAGAAACATTTGGTATACAAACTACCATTGTGCTGTTAAGGGAATGACAAGTAACTTACATAGACTTCTTTACTCTGATTCAGGATGAGGAACAAATTCTCCACCTGAAGAGAAACGGCCTCGAGCTTGGATCTAGTGAAGTTTTGAGTTTCAGGATGCATGTTAAATCCAATTACAGTGAACTTCACAAAGCTTTGTTCACCACATGTTGTAGTCAGTATATAGCTGCAACCTCCTTGAAAGTGATAGGTTGAACTGTCAAAGGTGATATAATGTGGGTCACCATAAACACTGCAAGTAGCAGGTTTGAAAGCGAAGCAGTCTTTGATGCCATCCTTTTCTTTACAAACTTGATCATTTCTGCATTGCATAGCAGTGCATTGCATGATATCATTACCCATGCATTGGCACCGTTTCTCACAATTTCCTGTTACAAACGTTTCACCTTTCTGTGGAGAAAAGTGGAAACAAAGTGTTAAGTATAATGCAGAACTGAAATGTTTCACACATCCACTTCACTGACCTCATAGTGTTTCCCATTATACCAGCATCCACAGTCATCCATTGGGACACACCTGCCCCCACTGAGCTTGAAGCCAGAGTTGCACACACATCTTTCAACACAATTTCCACAGGAGCTAGTTAAATCTTGACTAGCGCACACTTCAGGACACTCAACAGCACACGAGTTGTAATGGCTGTTCTCATTGCACTCAAGGGCTGGAAGACAAGAACAATCATGATCACATGAAGTTGAGGCAATTCCCTTTTGTACAGTAAAGACTAAAACTTACGACAGAATGTAGAGTTCCTCCATAAGGATACAGCAGTTCCAGACTCTTGGCAGATCTCTGTGAAGCCTTGGAAGGTTTTACAAAGTACGGTTTGATCACCATGTGCAGAACACATGCCAGAAACACAAGCTCTGAAGTAGCCTTTAACCCCAAGATCTAATAGACAATCAGCAAAGGGTCCTGTGCCAGACTGCAGGAGTCCACAGTACAACTCACTACCATACTTTGCTTCTTCCAATGGGTCACAATGTTGAGGCTTCAGAATATTTTCACAGGAGGCATTTCTCTCAGTCTGCCAGCTTTCAGCAAAAGCAGAGGGATTTTCTGCATTTGTACCATCAGGCTTGCGAAAGTCATCTCCACGTTGGCCATTAAAGTTGCCACACAAGCCACAGGTTTTATTAGAGTAAGCAAAGGGCACAGTGATTTGGACATTTCCAGCACTGTCAAAGGAAACTGACACACCAAAAGTAGTTGCCAGCAGTACAGCAGCAGGATTACTCCTGATCTGAATTGTACCATTACCAAGAATGACTGGAAGCTGCTTTGAGACACCATTAACCTGCAGAGGGAAATAAATAAAGTTAGGTTGTATTCACAAAAAATAAAAAAAAGACTGTTTGAAGACACCTTGGGGAAATAAGCCCTTAAAATATACTGTAGTTACCCCATTTAAGACTAGTTTTTACACAAAGATAAACTTACCACAACCCAGTGTGTCTGACTTTTCAGCAAAGACACATTGATATCGTTAATGTCCACGGAGAGCTTTTGAACTGTTGACAGAGATTCATTGTCATTTTGCACATGGACCACCTGTACATTGAACCTGGGCAGGACTTCAGTGGACAAGCAAGACTTGGCCAGCACATAAGCGCAGGGTGACGCAAAGTGGAAATCTACGCCATCAAAAGTGGTGTAGAGCGAGTCATGTATAGTGCAATCCCCTGAAGTGGAAATCACATTGGACTCCTTTCTTTGAGGTCCACACATTTCATTTTGAGGGCACTTGGAGGGGAAGCAGTAGAGCTCGCCAGAATAACAGAGGCAGCGCGTCGAGTCATCTGTCCACAACTCCGTGTTAGAGTCACACTGGTTTCCTGTGAGGATGAGAATATTAATTTTCTCATTCAATGTAAGGAATGCAATACGTTGTTACTCAATACTAGAAGACCATGTTGAACAATTTAAGAATGTTTTGGTAATATCTAAAGAATGATTTGTTCTGCATATCAATTTTATGAGCTTACAAATTTGAAAGTCATTACAAAGTTAGTTTTGAGAAATTGTTCTGCATAAAAAAAAAAGTGGTTTTTGTTACGTTTAGTTTTAGTCAGCTTCATTTTAATGACCCTTTTGAGTTCAGCGTAACATTGAAATTCTGCACTTTCAGAAATCCATCACTCTCCTTAATTCACAAGGTACCCTTTATAATTGTGATTTTAGAGTAATTTACATTAACAAAACATTAAGCGTTGAATATTTAAGCCATTGTATACCCTGAGATTTTGGGAAACTTCGTTTTAAATTGATTAAAACTGCTATGTCTTCTTGCATTTTTACCTAAAAGCCAATGTTTTAATTGCATGGCATCAAGAAACTAATGCAAGTTTCAGAAAGTTTTGATGAAGTATTCAGCCGTTTAAATACTTAAGTCACGTTTACCAGAAAATCACAAATATCATCAAGTGCTTACCACATAAACCTCTTTTTACACCAATCTGTTTAAACGTCATTTGGTCTACGGACAGTGGGTGGACAGCTTCAAACACAATCTAAAAAAAAAAACAAAAAAATAATTTTACATAAAAGTTGAAGTCAAAAATAGCAATTTAATCTTCATTCAGTGTCCTTCACCTGAGTGTCTGGATTACTGATATTCAGGGGCACAGTCACTTGTCTCCATGCATTTCTAGGAAGGGCAGGAGAGTTCCAGATCTCTGCCAGACTAGTGCTGGTTTGTAGCAGGACATGAAGCTCAGAACCATTAGATGCAGCTGGTGCCAGATACCAGAACTCTAAACAGGCTTCACCATAGAACTGTAGTGGATGGCTCGCCAAGACATTCAATTTAACATTCTTTGGAGCTGTAGGATAGGTAGAAAATTTAACATTACACATCCCACCTCCAAAAAATAAACAAAACATGACGTGCGGAGGAAAAACAGCAATGAACTTAAACTTTTGAGCTGCCAATAAAATGCTACATCTGTATGCTTGGACAAAATATGCATGCTTTAGTTACAGGCAGCTTGTACATTCAACAAATCCACATTCAATTAAAGACCAAATTCAGCTTTCAAGGAAATGTAATCCATTATTTCTGTACCTGTTTTTTGGCTCATTGTCCAGTCACAAGTCAAATTCACATGTTTGTTAGAGAAGCACTCCACAACATAATCTACAGGGCAGCATAAAAGACCAGAATAGAAAAAAAAAAAAGGTAGTTATTTCAATAGGCATATGGTGACCATCAAGTATTTGCTAGTTGCACTGAATGCATGCAGCAACTCTTAGAATATCATACAGTCTAGGTTGTTGAAGTCTTCCAGTACCTGAAGTAGAACTCAATTTTGGCAAAGTAACAGATGACAAGTCATTTTCAGCTCTGGAAGAAAAACAAAAAGTCTTCACGTTACCAAAATCTGGATTAAATACACTGATATTTAAACAATTGAAACTCACCTGCACTCAGTCACTGAGAGAGCCAAAAATACCAGAGCCATTCTGAACATTTTGGCACCAATGTCTTCTTTCATGCCTGATCCTCCAATAGCAGCTGGTTAGCTGCCTTGACACAGCAAGTTAAAGCCTAACAAGGAGCTGCTGAAAAGCCTTTCTGCAAAAACAGTCAATTGAAACTATTAATTCACGACACGCGATTAAACATCCTTCAGTGCTACTCCATGAACAGGACAGGTGGTTTCAGGCATTTATTTCCACCACAGCCAGGTAACCCCCATGGGAGGGGAAATGAGGCGAAAAGACATGCAGAGGGCTGGACTTGGCATTCAAGTGCACTTAGGGTCAAATGCATACTGCAGCAGTTTCAGTAAATAGATTACATCAGAGCTCAGGGCTGCTTGATCATAAAAAAAAGCATTGAATCAAGGTAAAGTCAAAACCATCAGAAAATTTGACACTGAGAATACTACCACTTTTCGTCACTTTCAAGTAGAAATAAACAAGTCTATATATATACATACACATACACACATACATACATACACATACATACACATACACATACAAATAAATAAAATGCTCAAAGTTAATTATTTCTATGTGAGCAATAAACTGCCCACAGAAAAAAGTTGCATAAATTAATCAATGAAACTATTCAAAGACTGATGTTCCATGGTTACCTATACAGTTTATTTAAATTTTGTATCTAAACTTATTCAAACTATATTTATTCACATAAAAAAAAACCTACTATTGTTATTAGTGTAAAACAGTTTTAACACAAGTTGCTTGCATTTTTAGAACTTTTTTTTTTTTTTTTTTAAATTGGGAAGGGACTTAACTTACCCTACTGAGACAGATGACTGCTCTGTAGGAACTAGTTCTTCTGCAATGCAAACCTGGAATAAATAGAAACCTCATTCTCAGACTTTCATTGTGCATTGATTGAAATCAGGTGTTTCACATCATCAGCATGTAGTGCAAGCAATCCACAGGACCAAGACAAAGGAAGTGAAATAAAATTGTAGTTAATACCTGTGAGGAAATAAACTTTCAAAGCACATTTCATAGAATGAAATTATCTAACTTCTTCTAGTGTTTAAAATTAAATTACTTAGATGGTGTGTTTTTGTACTTTCAGTTAAAATGGAAAGTTGTAAAATGATAGATACTCTATATATTTTTTTCCATTAGACACCAGATCTTTGAGGGGACACTGTTGCAAGAAAAGCTTGAAAAGGGCACTATTAGTTTCACCTTGTGCAATCCTTATTTTTCAACAGATATGCAAAACACGTGTTCCTTGTAATATATGGTGGGGAGCAGCTTAGGTAGTGTTTGCTTAAGCATTTTCAGCATATGTCAGTCAGTGAGCTCTGCAGTGTGAGAACAAGAGCTGCCAAAGTGATAAGAAAGATGCATTGTTGGGCAGTGCTGTTTGAGCCATTTTTATTGTGACATTCCTGGAGCCCTGATGGCATGTGTCAAGAAAGGGGTGGCCCAAAACAAATATTACAACCTCTAAGAATTTTCCAGCTTAAACAATAATCTTTTTAAAGGATCTGAAACGGAGCAAAAACAGACTATACCACATATTCAAAGTAAAAAACAAGCAAACATTTGAGCATTTGAAGCATTTCATTTTATTGCACTTGTAAGGATAAGTACAATTATCCAAACTAAAGGGACAATTTGAGGATGTATGAAAGGCACTAGAGATTTCCTCACTTAAACGTATATATAGGTGCAGCTCAAGACAGAATACTGTGCAAAAGTTCAACATATTTTGTCGATCATTTCAGAAAGTGAAACTCATATTACATAGGTTCTTTTCAGTGAAATAGGTCAAGGCTTTATCCGTCCATTTTACTTTTACCCACTTCTTCCTTTTTGGGTCGTGGGGGTCACTGATGCCCATGTCCAACCATCATTGTGTGAGAGGCGGGGGACACCCTGGACAGGTCTCCAATCCATTACAGGGACACATAGAGACAAACAACCATTCAGTCTCTCACTCACACTATAGAGACAATTTAGAGTTACCAATCAGCCTAACATGCACATTTGTAGTCTGTGGGAGGAAACCCACGCATGCACGGAGAGAACATGCAAACGCCACCCAGAAAGGTCCCTGGCTGGGATTTTAACTGTCGACTTTCTTGCTGAGAGGCAGCAGCTCTACCACCTTAGCCAATGTGCTGCCCGAGTATGGGTAATGAAAAACCAAAATGCACTGTCTCAGAAAATTAGAATACATGTATTTGTGAAAAGGTTCAATATTGTAAACTCCTGATTAACAGTTGATTAACTCCTATGAGCTACAAATGTCTCATTCCTCAAGTCCAGCCACTCCTGAACCAGAGACAATGTCAAAAGTGTCTTACCTGCTGAGGAGAAAAAGAGCTGGACTGTTGCTCAGTGGTCCAATGTCCTCTTTTCAGATTAAAGGAAACTCTGCACATCATTTGGAAATCAAGAGTCTGGAGGAAGAGTGGAGTGGCCCTTGAAGTCCAGAGTGAAGTTTCCACAGTCAGTGATAGTTTGGGTCCATGTCTCATGCTGGTGTTGGCCCACTTTGTTTTCTGAAGTCCACAGTCAATGCAACATCAACCAGGACATTTTAGAGACTTCATGCTTCCTTCTGCTGACGAGCTTTATGGTGATGCTGGTTTCATTTTCCAGCAGGACTTGTCTCCTGCCCACACTGACAAGTACCAGAAGCTGGCTGTGGAATATTCAAATTTTCAGAGACACTGAGCTTTTTTTTTTTTTTTGTAAGCCATAATCATCAAAATTACAAGAAATAAAGGCTTACATTTTTTCACTCTTTTATGTGTAATGAATTTAGTTAAAATATGATTTTCACTTTATGAAATAACTTTTTCACGATATCCTAACATACATTATTATTATATATCAGATAAAATATTATATCATTATTATCAGATGAACCTGTAAACTGAACACCCATTTTCTTAGGACCAACGCCTAATTTTGCAATTTTAAATTATGAGAAGGCAGGGAAATTAAATGGCTTCTTTTACTTTTGCCCAATTTCCATTTTAGTCTAAGGTTTTACAATTTTATGCTTTGTTGTTGAGAACTGTCAATGGGAAAGTTTACAAGACAGTGGTGAGACCAGCTATGTTGTATGGTCTGGAGACAGAGACATTGACAAAAAGACAGGAGAAAGAACTGTAAGTAGCAGAAATGAAGATGTTGAGGTTCTCCTTAGGAGTGACAAGGATGGATAAAATTAGGAATGAGATCATCAGAGGTACAGCACAGGTTGAACAACTGGAAGATAAAGTTAGAGAGACCAGACTGAGATGGTTTGGACATGTCCAGAGGAGGGACAGTGGGTATATCGGTAGAAGGATGTTAGAAATGCAGCTGCCTGGAAGAAGACAAAGAGGAGATATATGGACGCAGTTAGAGAGGACATGGAGGTAGTTGGAGTGAGGACAGAGGATGCAGAGGACAGAGAGAGATGGAGGAGGAGGACTTGCTGTGGAGACCCTGAAAAGGAAAAGATGAAACAACAAGAAGAAAATAATACGTTTGTTGAGATGCTGCTTTCAGACAAACAGCACATACAACTTATGCCTTGGAAGAACCAACTGTCTCAGTGTATCTCAAAGATTTGTTATATAAAAAAATGTAGAACAGCATTACATAATATGACCTGCGACTTTAGTTGGGTTCAAGAGACTTGGAGATGAAATGAATTAATTTCCTCTGTATAGTTTTGTGATACATATTTACTTTTAAGGAGTCTCCATTGGCTCCCTGTCAAATCCAGAATAGAATTCGAAATCCTACTCCTAACCTACAAAGCTCTCAACAACCTGGCTCCATCTTATATTACAGAACTTATTGTTCCATATTTTCCTAACAGAGCACTTCGCTCTCAGACTGCAGGTTTACTTGTGGTTCCTAGAATTTACAGAAACAGAATGGGAGACAGATCTTTCAGTTATCAGGCTCCTCTCTTGTGGAACCAATTTCCAATCTCTGTCCGTGAGGCTGACACATTGTTCAGTTTTAAAACTAGGCTTAAGACTTTCCTTTTTGCTAAATCCTATAGTTAGGGTCGGCTTGGGTTTCCTGAGCTGTCCCTTAGTTATGCTGCTATAGGCTTAGACTGCTGGAGGACAAACTGACCACACTTTTCACTCTACTACTGTCTTTACTTACTTTGCTCAACCTTTGTAATTCTTTCTTCTATCCTTAACATGTGTTTTTTTTGTCTTTCAGGTACACCTGGACCTATACCTGGACCTATACCTGGACCTATACATGGACCTACTATGTTCGTCTGTCTCTCCTCCCTGTCCTCTCAACCAGCCGGTCAAAGCAGATGGCCGCTTGTCCTGAGCCTGGTTCTGCTGGAGGTTTCTTCCTTTTAAAAGGGAGTTTTTCCTTTCCACTGTTGCCACTGTGCTTGCTCAGGATGGGAGACTGCAACGAAGCCAAGATTCAACTTGTCTGCTGGATTCCTTAGATAGATAACTTTACTAATTGGCTTTTATGTATGTGAATGTTACTGTAAAGTGCCCTGAGACAACTTTGTTGTGATTTGGTGCTATATAAATAAACTGAATTGAATTGAGTAACCCGTGGCAGCACGGTGGCGCAACTGGTAGAGCTGCTGCCTCTCAGCGAACAGGTCCTTGGTTCAAACCCCGGTCCAGGGGCCTTCTGGGTGGAGTTTGCATGTTCTCTCCGTGCATGCGTGGGTTTTCTCCGGGTACTCCGGTTTCCTCCCACAGACCAAAAACATGCATGTTAGGCTGATTGGTAACTCTAAATTGTCCCTAGGTGTGAGTGAGAGAGTGAATGGTTGTTTGTCTCGTTTGTCTCTATGTGGCCCTGTGATGGACTTGCGACCCGTCCAGGGTGTACCCCGCCCCTCGCACAGTGATTGCTGGACATGGGCACCAGCGACCCCCGTGACCCAAAATGGAATAAACGGGTAAAGATAATGGATGGATGGATGGATGGAATTGAGTAACCCATATAGTTACATTAAAACTATTAAACTTACTTGTTTCAGTTCTTTTTTTTGTTGCTC